CTCACTTGCAAATTTCAGTTACTGTAATGGTATTGAGATTTTTAGGCAGTTTTGTCAGGGAAGAGACCGCAGAAACACTGTAGTTTTTACTGATGATGAGGAAGGGCCAAAGTAAATTATTACTACAGGTGCTGCAGAATCCAGTCTTTCGTTTCTGTTGATGTTTCTAACCTTAAGCAAACAATAAACGTATTGTATCCTACATGCCAAACTGAAGTCTTAATAAAAGAATTTATTCTTGGTAAACACGGCAGAATTAGGGCTGTATTGAAAATGGAATCAGGATTAGTGGTATTGAAATGCAAGGAATTTGATTCTTTTCCAATCTCCCTGAGGAACATGTTCTTAAATACTAGAAACAGAGCATTAAGGGACTAAGAAAGGACTTAAGTGCTGCAAGTTTGAATTAAAGTTAGGGTTGCTCTTTCTTCAGTGGGACAACTGAGCCAAAAAAGGTTTTTTTATTTTTGAGTGTACTACCTCAAAGCACTGTTGGCAAGCAATTCGCATGGTACTGCTGTCAAAAACTTCAGTTATTTTCATTTCATACTCCTATATGTCAACGTTATTGCTTGCTTTATTATGCTGAAAGGCTTTGTGTGCAGACATGAACCCGCTCCATATATCCAATTAACTAGTGATAATTAGTGGAATTACCCTGAGAGCAGAGGCATTTTTTCACTATTCTCAAAATCATCTGCAGTAACAGAGCTTGTTCCACTGACGGGAAATATCACCCAAGACTGAAGATGTTTGCTTTCATACGTATACATCTGTACATGCACCATTGCTTTAATTTCTGCTTTCCCTCTGTCCCTTTTCCATAGCTTTCCTTTAAATTGTATGAAGATCTTCGCTTTCTCCTTGGGTAGCCACCAGGCCCAAATAGTACTTCTCAGATTTTCTCATCTGACATTCCTGTTTGCCCCCAACTGGAAGCAGAAAGGAGGTTGGGCTAACTTGTGACAGTAGAAGGATCATCAAAATGCAAGCAGTGTCTGCACTTTGTGTCTGGGAGCCCTTCAGAGACTTCTGTAATACCATGGGAAGCTGCATGGAAGGCCAAATTCTTGTATGTGCTTTATACATCATGTGTGGGACCTAAAATGACAGTTCTCGTTAGCTATGAATCTAACTCATGGATGCTTCAATTCTGACTTAAAAGAACTGTTTGTCTAGGCTATTTCCTGCTCCATAATTCTCTTTCTGTGGCCCAAATTTTTATTGGCTCTGTAGCACTTCAGTAAAGTTTCAAATAAACATAATTGTATTTTTGGATTGTGTTTCCAGAGGAAGTTCAATGGCCACTTTGAAAAGCATAGTTTGCAGTTTCAGCATCAATGCTCACCTTGATAAGACTTACGGATCTGTATTTCATCCCTAGAGTGATCTATATGATGAAGGAAGAAAAAGTGTAAATGATAATACTCTTAAGAACTCAAGTATTTCCCCAAACACTGTTGGGTTTTTTTTCCACTACAGGTAAGCAGTTTATGCATTGCCTCTTAAGTCTTTAAGACAGTTATAGAACAAGAAACTTTAATTATAGTTAAGAATTACTCTGTTCAACTTCTTGTCCTTATTGCATTGTTTCTAGTGAGGTATGTACAATACTGTGGTGAAATATTGGTGACTCCTTAGAAAAAAGATGCATACTTTTCCATGAGCTGCATATCCATCTTCTGCACCATCTTCTTCTTTGTCATCTGTCAACACAGTGTTCGTGCCAAAAAAAGAAAAATGGAAAAAAAAGTGTTGTTTCCAGTAAGCCAGAAACCCCAGTAACCAGAGTCTCCTTTCTCATCCTGCCTTTCTGACCACAAAATGTGGCTTTTTTGGAGAACATGACCTCTGACACAGCAAGGCGAAATGCTTTGCTGGTGAGCAAATGTCTCTGCTGAGATGCCACTCCTCAGCTTTTCAGTGTGGACGAGATGGGAGTGTTTTGGAAGTTCATGAGGAGAAAATTTTGTATCCAGCAAGAATGGCCTCAGTACTGGCTTTGTGGTGTTGGAGGAGGGAAGTTCTAAGGCTGGGGAAGGTGTCCTGGCTGTCCTTCCCAGCTTCTGTCTTTCCCCAGTGGAAAGGCAGAGGAAGCCCAGGCCTGCTGTGTTTGTGTGTGTATGCAACACCTACTTCCACTCTTTTGCATCACGCTAAAAATGTTTTCCTCCCCATCCCTTTGCCTGCAGTGGCTCCTGCTGATTGTCTCTTCTGTCTTCTCACGGTTATCAGCCCTGGCACATGCTGCTTTTCTTCCTTGGTCGGTTCAGATACAGCTCTACTCTTTGAGCTTTATCTTCCTCCCTTCCTTGCTGGATGGAAACAGCTGAGGCTATAAAAATCTCCTGTCTGTGAGCAGAAAAGATACCAAATTGAAGAGCTTGTGATCAGGTTTGCTTATCAATTATGCCAGAGTTAACCTTTAAAGATAATTGTGTTATATGAACGTGATAACAGTCTTGTGGTGAGCTGAGGAAAACAATGGAGAGGAAGTATTGTGTTATAGCTGTTAGGTCAGTCAGAGTCTTTAGTAGCACTGCCGCGATAGCAACATGAGTTTATAGCGATTAAGGAAACCTAATCTGACTGCCACTCCCTTAGCTGAAATGTCTGAAATGGAATGTTTCACTGACACTTCCCCACTCATCAAGAAGCTATTCATAATTATTTCAAGAGAAAAGAAAAATACTGTGGCTTTTCTGTTACAAAAAATATCACAGGCAGCTATGGAAGTTGGGTAATGTGTTTATCCTTGATTTTAATTTTTTTTTTTTCAATGGGTCTTGAATCCTGGGGTGCCTGTAATCGAGCTGTTTAAGCCACTTTGCAGCATCTTACACTGTGCTATTGCTATCTTTAGTTGCTCTGTGTTGCCTTCCCCTTGTATAGCGCTCGTGTGTAAAGCTGAAGCCTAAACATACATTGGCCTTTCCGTGTGGCAGACCTTTCCGCATGGCAGACTCCTACCTTTCCCTTTCCCCTAGGGACTTCTGGATCTATTGGCTGGTTTTGGACTGACCTAAAAACTGCTGTGTAGCTCTGCATTCCCAGAGCTGGGGCTGGTGAGGGTCATGCTGGACCCCCCTCCCAGCAGCACTGGGGCAGCCAAGGTGGCCGGGCTCCCCCCTGCCGGCATGCAGTTGTTGGAGGGGTTTGCTCACTAATCATTGAGGACTTGAACCTGGAAAGGTGCTGGATGTCCTTAACTCCTTTTGAGTCAATGGGAGTTCATGGCACTCAGTTTCTTGGAAAATTAGACCTTTTGGAAGTCGGAGCATATAAAATGTTTGTGCTTTTACCTCACAAAGCCACAAAGCTCTTCAGAAAAGGGCATGGGGCATACTATAAATGAAGTATTCATAGGGGAAAACAAAAATTTCCTGACTTATTCTTGGCACCAAATATTTAATCATGACATTTGGTCTAAGAAAATGTACAAACTCTCAACATTGCCAATTTATTTTGCCCACAAACCAACAACAGACTGATGATGTGCACACAAAGGTTATTTATTTTGAGCTCAGCCAGGGAATGTGAGTATTCCAAATGCTTCCTTATATCTCCCCATGGGATCTCTTAATAAGTTGTGTAATATTTTTCTGTATTAGAGGATTGTAAGATAGGCATGGTAGGCCTCTGCTTAAATACACTGGTTATGTTTTCTCTTTTCTTCTTTGAAGGAAATGCAAGCAAGAGAATGGTTTGTGAACAGTGTTAAATTAAAAAAAAAACATCAAAGGCCTTTCTAACAATTTATTCTAAAACTATCAGCCAACATATGATGTTCCAAGCAAAATAAATAATTATGTGGGAGGCTAGGCAAGCATTGATTTAGTTTTTGATTTCTTGGACTAGTAGGTAAATCTTTAATAGCAAGAAAATGAATACATTACTTAAATCTCTGGACTTAAGTTCAGGTAGACCCTCTTCTGAGGACAACTTTATACATAACCTGTAACAATTTTCTTGGAAAATGTGAAAGCCACTTGGATATATTTTCTATGGACCTTGGCTGACTCTAAGATGCTCCCCATTAGAGACTGAGAGCAAGGTTAAAGCAGGATAAGGGAGTGCCGCAATGAAAGTCTTTTAGTACTTGCAAACTTATGTTAATTTAGAATAGCATTGCTCTTACAGAATGTAAGGGTATTTATCTGGAGTATCAGACCCGGTTTGACAGTGATCATGTTACTAGGAAAAGCCAGTGGGGCTTAGTGGGCCAAACATCATTACTTTATGTCATCAGCACATGACAAGGTAAGACTCCAAATGCATAACTTTAGCATTTAACATGTGGAGACGTGGAGATAAAATTCCTTTCAATGCACTAAAGCACTGAACCCTTTCTCATTTTGGCAAGAGAGTTAGAAAAAAGGGGAGAGCTCTCTGGGGTTACTTGTTTTCTGTTTCTTCAGTTCTGGTGTAACTTATGATAATGTTTCTGCTTAGCCTGTTTTGTGCGTCTTCTTGTGGCAAGTGATTGTGCCAATTCTAAATTGCTTTGGCTAAGCTGCATGCTTGGCCCTAGTTTGTGCAACAGGAGAAAATTCCCTCAAGTAGTATTGACTTTTAGCTGCAGGTTTCTAAGAATTCTCAAGACCAAAACATTACCGGAGATGTACTTGCTGTGACATAAATTCTGCTTGGGAAAAGCATCTGGACATTTGGTTTTTCTTCATCTGTTATCCAGTGCTTACCACTGAACAAAAATTAAAGAAATCCTCAGGTTCTCAGTGAACCTGGTTGTTTTTGAAGCAGTAGGCTTGAGTTTGTCGGGTTTTTATAATAGTCTTTGTGAAGTACATGCCATGACAGCACGAGTATGTTATGTTTGCTTGTAACACTTATCTTGGATGCCACTACAGACTTTTCATACCTGGTTATCCAATGGCCATGTGCTGTGGTTTTAGGTTCATATTGGATATACAGTTTGTGGGTTTAATTTTGTAAGCAGAACCTGCTTCAACATGACCTGTGTTTTGTCTTTTCTAGGAATAACATGCTTGGAAGTACTTGGTAGTGTTGATCACCTGTACCCCAGCACAACAGCTCCAGCTTAATCCTTTTCTAACACATCTCTCAGAACATGGGGGAAAACGATGATGAAAAATACAGTCAAGCTGGCCAGATATTTGAAAACTTTGTACAAGCATCAACGTGCAAAGGTACTATTCAGGCCTTTAATATTCTCACTCGCCAACTTGAATTAGATCCTTTGGATAATAGAAACTTTTACACCAAACTGAAATCAAGAGTGACCACATGGAAGGCCAAAGCTTTGTGGAACAAGCTGGATAAAAGAGCAAGTCACAAAGAGTATAAACGTGGAAAATCTTGTATGAACACTAAGGTAAGTGGAGAAGTTCAGTTTTGGATTTCATAGCTTAGAATCTTTTAAACTTGTTTTTCTGCAGAAGCAAGGTTTATACCATCACATGCAATGTGTCCGTTCCTGTAGCCCTTCCTTTAATATACTTTTTGAAACTGGCTGATACCAACTGATTTTGACAAATTTTCAGGTAGTTTTGTTCTGCAAGTTTTGTGGAAGCACACAGCTTGTAAGAGTGGTCCTAAAAGCACCCTGCTTTATAATCTGCCTCAATCACATAGAAAAGAAGTTTTCTTTCCTCTTTAGCATCAATCAGGCATAAGATGTAAACTTATGAGGCAGTGGGCTTAATTCGTTCCAGGCTCACAAGAGCTACTTACTTTATTAAACGGGGTTTTGCAAGATGCAAATCATACTATATTCAGCAGGCTCCTCTGTTTGCTGCTTGGTGCATGCTGTAAGAGACCAGGGCTGGCCAAATGGGTTTCAACAGTAGTTCCTAAACTGTTCTCTGGAAAGTGCTACTTGGAGGCCTGAGGATCCGTCTTTGTCATCTAGCATTGGCTCTAGTTGCTAAACAGCAAAAGAAAATCCTGCATTATTTAGGGATTTAAATACTTTCCTGTAACTGCTTTTTTGCAAGCAGAATGTGGATAATTGCTATGTGGTAGTTAGTAAAGGAGATGGTCTGCTTAGTTGTGGAAAGGATGGGGAATTATTTTCTCTTCAGCAGAGCATGCAATACCATATTTTGATAGAGAGACCTAATGAATGTTGGTATAAATCTTGTTGATAAAACTGTACAAAATACTCTCATACCACTTGTTTCATCTAGCTATCACAGGATATTTTTAATAGCTTTGTCTGAGAGCAATTCACTTCTTTACTGCAAGGGATAGCTAAAAGTTGCCCCAAGAAGGGTAAGTTTTAAGAAGCTACTTGACTGTATAGAAGTAGAACAGAAAGGAGGGGCACACTGGGGAGTAACTAGATACCAAACTGGAGGACTTTTTAATTAAAACTATCCTTGAAGTGTCATTTTATGGACTCAGTAGACAGTCAGTGTTGAAGGCCTTTTCCTTCTTCCTTTTACCATTGCATTGAAACTTCCCAAAAGCACCAGGGAGAAGGACATTATGTTACCTTCAGTACATAGAGGCCTCTGGTTTTATTTATTCATTTTTAATAAGCTCCCAATTATTATGAACTTTTTCTAAGGTAATAAATGTCCTGACTATGGTTTTCTTTAGGAAATGAAGAGTGCCATTACAGCTATTTGCACTGCTTTCCTGACAGCCTCTGTTTTTATCCTTTCCTTTTTCCCGTTGTTTCCCTTTTTGACCTGTGCTTCCTTCCTCCCTTTTGTTCTTTTGAAAAGGCCTTAAACATATGTCACTGAGCATATTTGTGATGAAAACAGACAGGAAAGGCAAGGAATGAGAAAGTGTCTGATGATTAACAAATGATAGGAGATACTCTACATACACCTCACCTACACATACAGCCCCAGGTCCAAATCTCTGTGGTTAGGTTAAGGAAGTATTTGCAACACAAAAAAGCAGTTTTAAGAGCCAAGTGAAATATAAAAATGAAGTACTTCTTAAGTGTGACATTACAAACCCAAGCCTGGTTCTGCGAAGTTCTTGAGCAAAGTGATTAATTTTTATATAAGGTGAGAAGACTCAAGGAAATCGGTTGGTACATAAAATACAGCCTGTGTAATGCTTTACAAGGTTGCCAGGCAGAAGGCTAATCAACACCTTCCATGGCGTTGGAAGTATGGTATTACTGCTCTTTGAGAGTAAGGTTTTATTTTTAGTAGCATGGTGTAAGTATTTGCAGAAATTAATGGACATATCTATGATGCATATATGATCAAATTGCAAATGAATATAGAATGTCTGTATATGAACAGTGTGTGTATAGATACTCTGTGAAATACTTGTAGATGTTCATTATGAACCTGGACCATGCCCAGACCCGCACTTGACTGTGTCATCACTGATTTAATGCAAGAAACATGAATCTTCAGATTGCTGCAAATGAAAGCAGTAACCACAGTCTGCGGGCTCTGTGGGGATATCTACCAAACATTCCTCACATGTGAATCACAGTCTGCTGTGAAAGCCTATCTATGCAACATGAATGAGAGGAGAGACAGTTGCGAGGGGACGGCGGACTCCCTGATCATTGCGGTGGTGTACTCTGACAGCCCCACTTACAGATAAGGAATTCTCAGAAATGCTGGCAGTCCAAACAAAGTGCCAGTGCAGAGAGATTAGGCTGCACTATACATACCACGATTTTCCTTCAGTGCAACTGGTGATTTTAAGTTTCTGCTTTCTTGCCTGTTATGCCAGCTACCATTTTTAGTAATGAAGCAGGCAAACAGGAATGAGCAGGCTAAATCCTGACAGCGGTGCCCGGTGCTCACCTCTGTGGAGTTGTGTGGGGACTGGCTGAAGTAGATCATCCCGGAGTAAAAATCTTACTTGTTAAAGCAGGATCACAAAATGAGCTAAGTGGATTTTTGCAATTGCAGTTCTGTAGACAGAGTTGCTCGTAGGCATCATTTTAAAAAAAGATATATGACTTGTATGCTTTATATGAGGTTGTGGCCATGAGCTCTGTAGCTGAGTCTGCAGCTCACAGTTCCTCTCAGATATGGTTTTGCAATCTGTCTGGCTTCTTGCAATCTTCCCAATCTTTGGAGGAGATAAAGCAGATAAAATGCAATCAGGATCTAAACTACTCATGGCTGGGGTTTTTTGGTGTTTTTGGTTTGTGGTTTTTGCACAGTATTTAAGAGCTGAATGCTGTACTTGTTGATTTTTGTGCTTTTAAAGTCTTCAGCCACACTTAAGTTACTCATTACAATATACACAAGTTTTATACATACAGAACGTTCCACTCCAACTAAATAACAATAATCCTGTGTCTTAACTGCTCTTGAAGAACATTGCCAAATACGGCTTTCAAAGTTTCTACAATGATATGATTTTAAGCTGGATGAATAAAACCAGTTGAACAGTTTTCAAGAAGTTCAAACCTACTGCTATTTCAGAGTTGCCTTACTGTGGATTTTATTTTCCTTTTAATTCTTCGTAGAAGAAAAAAAACCAAAATCAAAGTGCTGCAGAAAGACATGCACAAAATTGGGGCAGAAACAAACTTTATTTGAAACGGTAGGAGTCCATCTGTATGTATGTTAAATCTGTATCAAACATACCCTTCCTTCCATCACAAACTTGTAGAATGGGAATGAGTTACTGTTCAGAGTAGCTGTTTCTAGAGCTGGCTTTTGCACAGGTCACCGCTATTAGCGAGAAACAGAAGTCTGTCCTAAGTAGCCAAAACTCTGGAAATTATACTGTGATTTTTGCAAATATGTCTAGAAAAAGAGCACAACTTTATTATCCTGGCAAAGTTTCTCTTTCATTTTCATCTTTTACTAATCAATGCAGAGTAGTCTGCTTGGAATCTGTAATGATTATTTGTTTCTTCATGGAATGAAACATAGCCTGACAATTGAAGAAGATTAAAGGTTTAACATATGTTGTTCACCTTGCTAGCACCTTGAATGTGTCTCTAAATTTTTGAACATGCAAAACATAATATGACAATGAACAAGAATTCATCCAGCTAGTTGTAGAGTGTACTCGGTAGCCTTTTTAAGACATGTGAGTGTTCTCTAAACATTTATTTGAACCTCTCTGTATGGAGTAGATTCTTTACTTGATTTACTGGCAGTTTACCTGTGTAAATGATACAGATATGTGCGTGCACATATAAATGAGGCTCCCACTGATGAGATGACGATAAGTATGTATATGTATCAGAGGGCAGGACCTGGCTCATGCTGTGCACCTGAAATTCTGGCTCTCCCACGGCTGTAGATTCATGCTTGAGGAGAGCAGCGATTGCTGCACATGAAAACATCCTGGGCTTACTCTGAAGGGAGGTGTTGATTGTCTAAAGCACGCCTATGTGGTGGTGTCTTCCCCCTCAAACACATATGTTTTTTCAAAACAAGCTTACACTTGAGGAGAACTAAGGAACTTTGTTTAAAGTGCTAATGCATATTTATCAGCTGCTTTGGTAGACCCGATGGTGTTGCACGCTGCGGGGAGGGCAGTGGCAAATTCCTGTGCACGGCCCTGGTCTTCTGAGCATTGTTTCTGTTGTAGACCCCCACCTTGAGCACGGTTCCTGGGCAGAGGACTGGTACAGTCTGAGCAGTGGTTTTGAGACCTAACTGGACAACATTAGCATAAAGCAAGTAAATAAAATTGAGCTAAGAAGTTTTGAGTGCTGTGTATATAAATACATACAAATGTGCATTTGTAGGTATGTGTGTATATATATCATAGAGATTCCTGAAAAACAAATGAAATTATCTTGAACTCCATCCCTGTTGGCCTCTCTGGTTTTCCTCATTCATGACATAATAGATTATGTTCCCTTCCAAAAACTCGTGTTGGGAAACTTATTGCAAGAGAACGACTCCACAATTATTTATGACCACATTTCCAGGCCTTGTGTAAAAACCCAATGGCTCTTTGCAGTAGCATCATATGGTGCCAGTCCAACCCAGACTCAGTGGCATTGGTGCCTGTGCTGTAGGAAGGGCTCCATGGGCTCCTCTGGTGGGGTGCTGTTTTAGCCGAGGCAGCATTACAGAGGGTGTGTGGCTTGAGGGGGGATGGAGTGGAGGGGAGTCAGGGGCCAGGGTGTGAGTCAGCTGAAGAGGAGCCCCGGGTCAGAAATGGGGATGGAGGATGGAGTGTTTGTGACTGACTCAGCACTGGCTCTGAGGCTCGTCTCCCAGTACTAACCACACTGGTGTACCCGCGAATGATAAAACTGGATGGTCTTTATCTGCAAAACCCCTTCTGCTCCTTTTCATATTGTCTCCATTTCCAAAGACTGTCGTATGTATGCTTTGGGAGTTAGTAAAACCTACTTCGCCGGGTGCTCTCCTCCCCACAGAGTTGAGAAAGGGAGAGGTGCTGCCATGTTAC